AGGGTTTCCATTTGCAGAGGAAAGGATATTTGCAGCCACATTTTACATCAACCCATTTCTCGTGCCCTGAAAGAAAGGAACATGGGTGGTGATCAACTTTAGAGCCCAATATGGCCCAGGATTGGGCTACTTGCAGACCATCTGTTCTCAAGTACATCTGCCTGCCCCACGCCCACTCATGGGTGGCATCAAGTGCAAACAGCTTCCACACACAAGAATCTAGTCAAGTAACGGCCAAAGCTAAATGGGCACTAGATAAGGGTCAAGAGAATTCCGGAGGACTGGACCTAGGTCTCTCGTGGTGACACAAAGACTTCAAACAGATGACATGTTTAACTCCACCTTCCAGGTCCTCTCCCACAAGTGGGGTGCTTGCTGCAGCTCCCCTCATCTAAGCCTTGCCATCTGGTGGGATCTGGGAAGGGCCCCTTTTCCGTGGCTGCCTCCCTGCTCCAGAACAGTCTTCCTGCTGAGCTAGAGCAGACTCAGCTCTTCCATCAAGAGAGTTAAGACAGGGGTCTTCCCTCAAGCGTTTGGGTCTCTGCTTGGGGGATCCTGGGAGCTGAAGGCCACGCTTCTTAAAGTTGCTAATCTTGAAAAACACTGTATTGATCTATTCTATTCAGATTGCTGTTTTGCACATCTGGCTTACTATTTCAAGTGAAATACAGTTGATGTTTTAGATTATAGGCTTATTCTTCTTGTTGTATGTCACTCGGGGTCACCTTGATTGAGCTGGGTGGCCGGGTAAATATAAATGTTTGAAATAAAACCAGGCATTCACAAAGCTCTCTCCTGTCTTCCCTTCCCCATCTTCCCTTCCCCTCCCTTCCTGCCTTCCCTTCCCTTCCCCGTCTTCCCTTCCCTTCCCCATCTTCCCTTCCCCGTCTTCCCTTCCCCATCTTCCCTTCCCTTCACTGCTTTCCTGGAATTACAGACGCAAACTCCATCCACACTAAGGAACGATGGATTCTCATACTGACCAGATGCAGGAGAGAGACCGGCGCAAGTGTCATCGTTAGACACAACGTTGGGTTTACCATTGCTCCACTTTTTATACGTGGATCGTGTCCCATCAGTCCAGCGCCATCCAGTTTTCTGTGCAATGCAGAATAAAGCATGTTAAGGTGGGTGAATGGGGAACGTGGGGAGGGGGGGGCTGATAAAAAAATTCAAATTCCAATTCTAAATTTAGGTTAAATTAATTTAAAGGGGGAAGTCCTGCTAATTAGGCTTTTGTGCAAGCAAGCACTACACGGATGTTATCCTAAGTCATTCTTTCGATTGTCCTAGGCAGAGACCCAGTTAGGTCCTTTGGATGCAAAAGCGGCATATAAATGTATAAGGGCTATTGCGATTGCGATGCATAGAATCCAAGGTTCCTGGGGCTATAAAGATCCCTGAGCCTTTGAGTCCAGCGGTGTCGCGATTCCGTGCCAGCCTGTGATCCCAACAGCTGAGTCCGGGGAATCTGAGGAGGAGGGGGGGGGGAGCCATCAGAGTCAGGCTCTGATGAATTACAAGACTCACAATCTGATGAAGAGCCTGGCCCCTCCAATTGTGGTCAGGATGAGACACAGCTGTGTGGGGAAGATGAGTCAGACTTTGAGGACTCACAGCTGGAGGTCATTACAGACCGAAGGCAATTAACTAGAGCAGGTCAGAGGGAGTCAATAGGGCAACTCCAAGGCAGGAGGAGAAGGCACTGAGAAGCCACGCCTTGGGGCTGCTTAATAAAAAGGGAAGGTGTGGGCGGTGCTGGTTGCCGAAGGCAACCGTTTGTAAAGAACTTCCAGGGATCATGGTCTGTTTGTTTTACCGATGAATTTCTTGTTTAACTCCTGCTCTGTTTGCTTTTTTAACCAATTATCTGTTGGAAAAGTATTCTGTTATTTTTGTTTTGGAGAAAACTTATCAGGACTGTTTTTGAAATAAAAAGGGGTTGTTTTTCCCAGCCTACTGTTAAAGAGGGGTTTGTTCTTGTGACGTAGGCTGGGACAGAACAAGGACGGACGTAGGCTGGGACAGAACAAGCGGCCTGCTCAGTGCGGGAATCCAGGTTAAAACACAGGTAGTCCTCACCTTACGACCACAACAGAGCCCAAACTTTCTGTTGCTAAGTGAGAAATTTGTTAAGTGGGCTTTGCCCCATTTTACGACTTGTCTTGCCACATTTGTTGAGTGAATCCCTGCAGGTGTTAAATTAGTCACACGGTTGTTAAGTGAACCTGGCTTCCCCCATTCACTTTGCTTGTCAGGAGGTCACAAAAGGGGATCACGTGACCCCCCTGGGACATTGCGACCGTCATAAATGTGAACTGGTTCTCAAGCATCCGAAGGTAAATCACGTGACCCTGGGGATGCTGCAACTGCTATGGGTGTGAAAAACAGTCAGAGGTCAATTTTTTTCAGTGCCCTTGTAACTTTGAACGGTCACTAAATGAACTGTTGTGTCAGGAGCAGCAATGGGACGGTTCTTAGATACTACACCACATGGTCTATCTAGCCCATTAACATGGGACAAGACCAGCATCAGGGACGGAGATGGAACAAGGTGGCTGGGCTATTCAAGGATGGTGTAAATCACTACTCAGGAAACAGCTGTACGGAAACAGCTGCTGGTGGCTCAGAGCCAGGAGGACCAAGGACTCACCACATTGGACCCTTTATCTCGTCGGAGTCCAATCCAGACCAAATCACCCTCCAGGTTTTCTTTGGTGACGTAGGCACCGATGCTTTTGACCTGCTTGTCTTTTGTCAGAGATGCTAAATGGCCTCTCCATTGGAATTGACACTCTTCCTGCAAAGAGAGAAGAACCAAAAATATCTCAGCACCAACAAACCAGGTTGTCAATTGCTGGTCTGCTACAACCCGGGGGGTGGGGGTGTGTCTTGCAGTCTGGGCAGACAAGATCCTCCCAACTAGGTTCCTGCCCTTGAAGTTCTCCTAAGAGGGGCTGCAGATTCAAGCATGACTTTCTTGCCCAACAAGGAAAAATAAAGAAAAAAATATATTGGGGAAGATGGCTCTTGGGCTTTGGAGCAAAGTGTGAAAGTGGTGTCAGCAGTGGGATACACACAAAAAAGTGGGACATCCAAACAAGGTGTGGGAGGGAGAGAGAAGAGGGAAGGAGGTGTGTGTTTGTGTGTGGAAATAAAGAGACACCCTGAGAGACAAGGGCCCACTTTGAAAGAGCATGGCTTGAACTTTTGAAGGTACAGCAGTCTTCGTTTAACAACCACAATTGGAACCAGCAACTCAGTCATTTAGCGAAGCGGTTGCTAAGTCAACTCCAACTGTCATAAATGTGAGGATTAGCCATAAAGATACCTTTTCATCACTGTCCTAACTGTGATTGGTTGCTAAGTGAGGAACCCTGTTAACCCTGTGATTGTTGGCCTTGTTCCCACAACATAGACAAGACAGTAGCTGAGTTGCACAACCTGTTAAATCACACACCACCCAATCCCATTTAAATGTAGCAGGAGGATGTCTTATTCCAGTTCTGCTTCCTTTAACGAATTTCACTCCGACATTGAAGTGAAGCCAGCCCATGAATCCCGTTCAGATTTATTATCAAAGTACTAAACTGAAGGGAGTTCTAGAGAATTACTAAAGTATTTTATTTTACTCTTTCTTTTAGACTTCTATCTTTTTTCTAAGGCAGAGTCATGCAGCAGGTGCTCTTCATTTTAAAAAAATGAGATGGACATTTTGGCGTTATAAAATTTGGAAAAACTCTGGGCCAGCTTAAGGGAATCCTTCCCGCTCACGTGAGTTACCTCAGGTGAGTTACCTCAGGTGAGTTACCTCAGGGGGCTTACCTCAGCATCATGAAAGGTGAACTGATCTTCATAGAACTTGTAGCAATACCACTGGCTTCCATCTTTATAGCGAAAGGTGCCAGGAGGGCAGACGGTCCGAACCTTTGGACCTGCTCAGAAAACAGAATAAAAATGGACTTTTTCCCCATGGACACCAACAAGGTAGAGAAATCCTTGAGCAAAAGAGAAATATATAACTCCTCAATAAGCACTCCAGAGAAGAAAAAAAATTATTCCATGAAGGAGTGACTTAAACTCAATGAGTCAATTGGAATGAAGGTGGATTTTTATCAGTTTGAAATTTGTAATTCGAAGAAAGTCTTAATGCAAAATGGGTTTGAAAATGTATTTTTTCCTTTATATATAAAACACTAAAGTAATTCCTAAAGCTTGTGAAATACTATTGAAAGTGTATTTGAAAGTATCTACGTTAAGAGAAAGTTAAAGAAAAAGATGTATTAGCTTAAAGAGAAGTTCAGAGTTTTAAAATGGATTTTAAAAAGTAATTTTTTTCCCTTTAAGGTTGAAGAATTTGAAAGAATACAGTGAATTTTGTTAATATAAATGGGGATAGTTTATAAAGGTTATTAAATGCAAACAGAAATATATATTATTTCCACAGCAAGGAAGAGAAAGCAGAAATGGTTAAATTGATTGGTTAAGAGGAGAATATATTTAATTATGTTTTTTATTTGGGCATCGCTTTTGGACTTTGCGCTTGTGATGAAAAAAAATGAAACTTTGACTTTGGCTTTGCTGATTAGATCGATTTGTTGCTATAGAAATGGCTGGTTATATAATAATGTGTAAAAGTAAAAAGTTGAGGCTGTCATGCTAATCTTATGCCAGGGGTCTTCAAAGACTTGTGGACTTCAACTGAGGAATTCTGGGAGTTGGTCCACAAGTCTTAAAGTTGCCAAGTTTGAAGACCCCTGTCTTGTGCAGTGCTAAAAAGAGTTGGAAGTTAAGGCTTCCCCCCCCTTGTAGTCCCTATTGGAGTGTTGGCAACAACTTACCTGCCCAGGTAAGGCTGCCCAAGAGACCAAAGATGAAGCAAGTGATGAGAAACATCTCCAGACCTGAGGAGAGAAGCAGAAGTTGAGAAGAACCCTGAAGGTCCTCCACCCAAACCAGGACACCCCCTTTTGGGTGTCCCTCCGCAGAAGGAAGAACCGAGCACTCATCTCAACCGTGAACCCTGCCTGTTTGTCTCCAGATTGCAGCCTGAGGAATTCTGGGAGTTGAAGTCCACATGTCTTAAAGTTGCCAAGGTTGGAGACCCCTGTCTTATGGGACATACAGGACTTTCGGTTGCTTTATAACACAGATGCTACGATGTCTCATCAGTCAAATAAAATGCCTCTTATACCTTTTTATCCAGGAATTCTTGCAAAGGAGGTTGAAGAATTTCAAACTATAGGCAATTTTTTAAAAAGGGGATGAAGGTTCTGCATCGGATATTTCCTGACTTGGTTGAAACCCCTTTGGATCAGGGCACGGTGCATATGTACATAGCTGCAAGATCCAAAGCCTCCCTGAAGCTATTGCCATTGGTATTCGTATTAAAACTTTTAAACAAAAACATTGAAAACTAATCTAAACAGAAAGGGAGAGAGGAAGAGAAAGAAAGAAAGAAAGAAAGAAAGAAAGAAAGAAAGAAAGAAAGAAAGAAAGAAAGAAAGAAAGAGAAAGAAAGAAAGAAAGAAAGAAAGAAAGAAAGAAAGAAAGAAAGAAAGAAAGAAAGAAAGAAAGAAAGAAAGAAAGAAAGAAAGAAAGAAAAGTCAAAAGGGGGGAAGGTTAAAGAAAAATAGAACAGAAAAAAGAAGATACAAAAAGTAGCTTCTGATATTCTTCACAGCTGTTATAAATACAAATATGTTGTAATCTCTCTCTCTAAAGTTACATCACGCTACTCTTCTTTCTGTAACAGCTCTCACCTTCAAATGGGGATCCAATCTGAGAAGAATCCTCTAAATCACCAATGGTCCCTTTTCCAGCTTATATACCAGAGTCCACGCCCTGCACAACAAGATAAGGTGATCCAAAACAGGTGATCCAATTTCTGGAACACGGGTGTCATCCACGTCCTGGGACAGGCAGAAAAACCTGTCACTCAGCTGTTCTCTCAGGCAACCACAAACTCATTATTAAGAATCCATCGAAGATATTGGATCCTGGACAGATCAGAGATAATGATTGCAATGATTTATGGTAGATTGGAAGCCGTAGTGGAGTTTTTGCGTGTAAAATACAATAGCAGTTTGTAAACAGAGAATTTTATTGTTGGTTCTATAAGTTAATGGGTTGTTGTTGTTGTTGTTGTTGTTTTTACAGTAAATAGATGGTAGGTCAAATTAGCTGGCCAAAGAGGGCTGTAGAAGTTTATAAAGTGTAAACCTGTTTTGCAAGGAGGGGAATTATTATTGTTTAAATATATTTATCAGTATTCAACTAGGGGAGACCATTTATGTGCAGGCTTTTAATTATTATTTTTATGCATGTATTTTTTTTATCCTGCCCAGTTTTGCTTCGTTTTTGTTTCCTTTTTTTTTCTATTGAAGTTTGTATTTCAATTTTGGAGTAAAATTTAAAAAAATAATTAGAAAAAAGGAAATTGCAAAGTCTTGGGTTGTTTTCTGGACTGAATTTAATCCTAGAATTTCCTCCTTTGATATGAACTCTCATAAAATGACAATATGACCTCTCATAGTAACTATGATTATTATCTATGACCTGTTACTTGTTGTTTATATGTATGCTGTGAGCTTCTGCACCTGAGATAACTTCCTTGTGTGTCCAATCACACTTGGCCAATAAAGAATTCCATTCCATCCTATTCTATAATAACAACAACAATATCCTAGGTTGGAGCCAAACAACCAAGAACAGCCTGTCATAAAATAATAAAACCAGATAACCATCTCGGTATTAATAGTCTCTAAATCCAACCGGGATGTGCTTTTTACAGGGTTTTAATTTTTTTATGGTGTTTTCATGACTGTGCATCTCTCTGTGTGTATGTATACATGTGTGCGTGCATTCGCATTCTCCTTTATCCCATTAAGGCATTTGGTTGACCATGGTGAGCATATGTTGCAGGAGTGATTGGTTGCAGGAGTGATTGGTCTGACTTGACATCAGGGTCTTCTTAGGCACCACTTTATAATGCCTTGGTAAGACCACACTGGGAATGTTGCATCCAATTTTGGTTGCCATGATACAAAAAAGATGTTGAGACTCTGGAAAGAGAGCAGAGAAGAGCAACAAAGATGATTAGGAGGCTGAAGCATATGAAGAACAGATGCAGGAACAGGGTATGGCCAGTCTAGAGAAAAGAAGGACTAGGGGTGACATGATAGCATTCTTCCAGTATTTAAGGGGCTGCCACAAAGAGGAGGGGGTCAACTTATTTTCCAAAGGACCAGAAGGCAAGACAAGAAACAATGGATGGAAACTAATCAAGGAGAGAAGCAACCTGGAACCTAGACCGGCTCCAGGTTGACTCAGCCTTCCATCCTTTCGAAGTGGGTAAAATGAGGACCCAGATTGTTGGGGGCAAAAGGCTGAGTCTGTAAACCGCTTAGAGAGGGCTATAAAGCAGTGGGAAGTCTAAGTGTTGTTGTTATTGCTATACAGGAGCATCTTTCCTATAAATATTACCAGTCTCTATATCCCAAATTGTAGCTACCACAAGTGCTTCTTCTATGCTCTGTTAGTACGATCGTTTATACAAAGGAGTTTTAGATTATCTTGATGACATCCTTATCTACTCTGAAACCATAGATGAACACATCAAATTACTCCGTGATGTATTGAAAAAACTGTTGAAAGCCAAACTGTATGCAAAGCTGTCAAAATGTGAATTTCACCAGACACACATCGACTACCTGGGATATCGGATTTTGAATGAGGGAGTAGAAATGGATCCTGTCAAAGTCAAAGCAGTTTTGGAATGGCCGCCCCCCCCCCCCATGCACCTGTAAGCAGCTTCAAAGCTTTCTAGGATTTGCCAACCTTTATTGTCAATTTATTCCTTCTTTTGCAAGGATAGCCATGCCAATCACTGACTTACTCAAAACAGGCAAAGGGGGGGGGGGAAACCCGACCTTGTCAGCCGTTGCAATGGTCATTAGAATGCCAGACTCTTTGCAGCAGAACCAATCCTTAAACACAGAGACCCCAGGCAACAATTCATCATTCAATCCATGTGGCCGTGGGTGCTGTTCTTCTACAAAAAAATCACAGAGGAGAATTACAACCTTGCGCTTACACTTCCCAGAAATTAACCAAGACTGAGAGAAGGTGGGCGACTTGGGAGAAAGAGGCTTTTGCAGTTTGTTGGGCGTTGCTGACATGGCGTCATTTCTTGGAAGAGGGGAAATTACCTTTTGAGGTGTGGACTGATCACAAAAACTTGGAATCCCTCAAAATCCCTCATAAATTATCCCCCTAGCAAGTTCGATGGGCTCAATACTCCAACCATTTTAATTTCACCTTAAAATATATTCCTGGAAGCAAGAACTTTCTGGCGGATGCCTTGTCCAGAATGCCCCAGTTCAAAAGCAACAGAGAGGAAGTGATTAACTCCATTATTCCTTTGCTGCAGTCCGCATCCCAAATAACGAACAGATCGCACACACAGAGCCCCCCTATGGGTCCTGACAATCGATCGTTGAAGGAGCTAAAGGAGAAGTTAGAGACTGATGCCTGGTTTAAAGATAACAGGTCTATATTGACTTTAAGAGGGGGATTAGCTTAGAAAGGCTCTAAGTTATACCTCCTGGAAAGCCTCAGACTCAGGTGTTGCAACGGGGTCATGACGCTAAGCAAGCAGGTCACTTTGGAGTTTTAAAAATATTGCATCTAGTGCGGAGGCAATTCTGGTGGCCAAAAATGAAAAAAGACATTGAGAGTTATGTAAAAAGTTGTGCCACTTGTACTACCATAAAGAAGTGTCCTGGAAAAACCCCAAGTTTATTATAGCAAGTGGCCGACGCCTCTCAGCCTTGGGAGGAGATATTCATGGATTTTATAGTAGAATTATCTGAGAGCAAGGAAAACACTGTGATATGGACTGTGATTGATTTATTTTCTGAACAGGCATATTTCATCGCTTGCTTGGGACTTCCTTCTGCCAAGAAACTAACCAAACTGTTTTTGCAGCACATATACCAGCTCCATGGTGCCCCAAAATGGATTATCTCTGACAGAGGGGTGCAGTTTACTGCCAAATTTTGGAGGGAGTTTATTAAACTGATTGGGTCCCCCCAGGGGCTTTCATCTGCTTTTCATCCGAATACTAATGGTGCCACTGAAAAAGCTAATGCGATGGTGGAACATTATTTCAGATGTTATGTGAATTACCAGCAGTCGAATTGGGCTGACCTTTTACCTTTTGCAGAGGTAGCCTACCATAATACTGTGCATGGTAATACTGGTCTCACCCCATGCAAAATAGTGATGGATAGAGATTTTGTGCCCATGCCTGAGTTCCCACAGGAGCCACCTACTTCCCAGACCTTGAACCAATGGGTGACATCTTTCCAGGGGGTTTGGGTGAATGCAAAGAAAGCATTGGCTAAAGCTACAAAGGATTACAAGGAACAAGCAAAGGACGTTCCCCTCAAAAACCCTTTTATGTTGGGCAATTCGTTTATCTTTCAACAAAATATCTACGGTTAAAATTTCCCAGCAAGAAATTGGGTCCGAAGTTCCTTGGTCCTTTCCCTATTATCAGGATCATAAACCCTGTGTTGGTGGAATTAAAACTTCCGCGATTGTTGGGGAAAGTCCATCCTGTGTTTCATTGCAGCCTGTGTCAGAATCCACCTTCAAACCTATTCCTAAAGAGCCACCTGGTCCAGTAGTGGTAGAGAGACACACGTTATGAGATCAAACGTATTCTGGACTCTAGGTTGCACAAGGGAAAACTACTATATCTTCTCATTCGTAGTTGCCACATAGCATAGAGGGAGGGGGTTTGCCAGGTGTTGCGCTAAACAAAACAGACTTTCTCTCTCAAACTTTCTCTCATGGGAACCAAGGTCATTGGCTGTTCCCAAATCTGCAGG